GCGGCTCTCCGCGCGCGGGCTGGACGGCGTGGCGCTGCGCCCGTCCGCGATTGAACAAACTGTGTGTGTGTGTGCGTGTGTGTGTGTGCGTGTGTGTGTGTGTGTGTGTGTGCGCGCGTGATCGAATTATTGCGCGCGTGGTTGTGTGAGCGCGCGTGGGATACTGATATTCGACTGTGAAATTAATTCGGCTGTTGCAAGCGCGCCGAGACGTCGGGGCCCTGATGCTGATGAAAACGACGATGCTGATGTGCGGTGGTGATGATGCGCGTGCATAGGTGCGTAGACGCGATGATTTTGGTCATCGTGAAGCGAGGATGATGTTTGTGAGCGCGTGAGGGGTGATGATGAGGATCGTGATCGTGATGATGCTAAGTGTAAAAGGGAGAAGGGGAGGAGGAGGAGGAGGAGGAGGAGGAGGAGGAGGAGGAGGAGGAGTGCACTGGCCAAAAGAGGGGGGCGAGAAGAGGGCAAGCGGACAAGAAGCGAGAAGAGGGCAAGACGTCGTCGCAGCCACCAGCCCTACCCCCCCCCGCGGGTAGCCGCGCGCGGGAGCGCCTGCGGGGCCGCGCCAAGCAGCGCGGACAGGTCTGCCCTCTGCCTGCAGACCTGCTGAAAACGGGCCCCTGCCACGGCGACGGGCGACGCGGGACGATGGCGACAGGTATGATAGCAATGGAAGCAGGCATCAATATACAACAAGATAGACAACAGAGCACGATTGCCAAGAGGAACAAATCTATACATCTGAATTCTGGTGGCACCAGGGGCAAGGCAGAACGCAGAAGGGAGCTCTGGCAGGAAAATCCCAATGATGTCGAGACTCGGGCATTCAAGCACATGTTTGAGGGTGTCAGCGGCACGTAGGCCGCAAAACGGGCAATCCTGGGTGGCATTCCGAAAACGCCCAGAAGTGCACCAGGCATTACACACAGTTTTCAGAAGCGAGGCGAGGACCGAGGGCGGAACGAGAGGGGCGGCCCTCCTGAAGGCCAGGAAAACAAGATCCAGATCACTATAGCACAGAAGGGGTCCGTTTTTATGCAGGCGGCTCAGCAGCAGGGGCTTCACATAACGAGGGTAGAGTTCACGCAAGAAAAGCTCCGTCTTTTTCTGAAGCGGCACCTCATCCCTCGGCACGTTCGGGATACTGGTCAGGAATTCGAAATTCTCAATCATCGACCGCAAGGAGGAGGAGGAGGAGGAGGAGGAGGAGGAGGAGGAGGAGGAGGAGGAGGAGGGGCTCCTGCGCGGGGTGCCTAAAGAAAACAAGAGGCCTCCCAAGGGACCCCAGGAAGCCTCTCAAAGAGGCGTCTTGTCTACGATCCGCCGCCCCACCGGGTACGGCGTGCGAGATCCCAGCCGCATGGCCTGCAAGAACTTACTCCGCTGAGTCATCTTGCATACTCACTCCTCGTACGTACCCTTTCCGAGCCAAAGAGTCCTCGCACCCCCTCCTGGGGTCCTCCCCCCGCGGCCTGCTCACTCGGCCAGCCCAGGGGCCCAGCTGCGGAATGCGCGTCAGCTGGCCGCGATTTTGACCTCAACTCACGCACGCATTCGCACAGGAGACCTCCGTTTGCGGCCTCTCTGGAAGCCCTCCTGGGCAGTCTTTGGAGCCTCTTGGGGCCCTCTTCGGGTCATTTAGCGCGTCCCCGGAGCCTTCCGGGACTGTCTCGGACCCCTCTTCGAGTCATGTTGAGCCAGAAAGACGAAGATGCCAAAAACCTGGAAAAACCCAAGGAGCTTGAATAAGGTTGGCCATTTCGGGCTTCCCTGTGCGCCTCTCGTAGCTCTCCTGGAGCCTCTTCTGACACTCTTCGGGCCTCTGCGGACGTGTGGGCATATCTTCCAGCCATCCAGGGCCGTGCCCGTCCTTTTGGCGCCCTCGTGGCCCGACTGGGGCGCGCCCAGGGAATCTCTGGAGAGCAGCTTGAGGGCCCAAAACTAATTCGTGATGCCCACAACTAATCTCTCCGTAATTATCCCTCTTCGGTTCTCCCCGTGTTCAAGCCTGTTCGGTGCCCTTTTGGGTAGTTGTCGGAGCTTTTGCGAGCTTTCTTGGGACTCTCTCGAGGCACATTTGGCGAGTTTTTTGCCGTTCTCTGGGGCCAATCTCGGGGGCCCTCAAATTTTCCTGGGCAGACCGTGTCCCCCGCTGCACACTTCGTCCCAAAGCCTGCGACACATCGCGCAACGCTCCACTCCTGGGGCCTCGGAAGCTTTTCTATCTACTGCACCCCCCCTGCAAAGGTGCCTCTCGGACAGCGCTTGCGCCCTCGCCCTCCTCCTCCTCCTCCTCCTCCTCCTCCTCCTCCTCCTCCTCCGGCGGAGGCCCCCCCCACGCCCCCAAGAGGCCTCACAAGGCTACCAAGTGGGCCCCAAAGAGGCCGCCATGAGGCCCCCGAGAAGCCTCCCAAGATACCCCAAGGAGCCTCCCAAAAAGTCATCTTGCCCACGACCCACTCTGGCCGAAGGCCCTCCTGCTCCCCCAAAGCCCCCCCTCGCGGACCCGTCTGAGAAGCCGAAATCGAAATCCGTAGCTCCAGTCTTTCGCTGAGCCCCCCTTTGTTGTCGACATCTGGGTGGCCATTGCCGTTGCCTGCGGGCATCGCGGGGCCTTCTTGGGCACTTTCTGGATACTCGTGAGCCCCCTTGTGCCATACTGAGCCTCGGTTACGCCCTCAGCTGTTTAGGCTCCCCCGGTCCGCACTCACGACCCAACCTCTGACCCCGCGTTCCAAGCAAAGTGGGGCGCCAGTGTCCGCCCCCTCGAGGGCGTTCAATTGAATGATCTCGCTCAAGATGTGGAATTACTGCGGATCCATGGAGCGATTCCCCGCTTTCCGTCCCGGGTCGTCCCTTGATGCCCCTGTGGCCCAGAAACGACGCCCCACCCCGAAAGACGGGCCAGAGCAACACACGGGACGACTAAACAGACCGCGACGTCGGAGGCCTGGGGGTGTGCAGCGGACAAGCCCTTTCAGGCTGACCAAGCGCTCCCTGTCCGCGGCAAACCTGCGCGCACACCTCGCGACCACCCGTCCGCCTGCCTCCAGCCATGGGCGGCGGGGGCGTGCCCGCGAGGGGCCGGGCGGAAGTGTCAGAAGGCGGACCAGGATGCGTGGGTCAGAGCACGCGAGCGGACCTCAGGGGGCGTAGGCTCGATTCGCCCGAGTCTCGAATTCGCCCGAGTCTCGATTCGCTCGAGTTCCGATTCGCCCGGCTCGAGTCGCCCACGCTCAATTCGCCCGCGTCCCGATTTCCCCGGCTCCGCCCGCCCGACCTGACCCGCCCATTAGGTTTGCCCGCCCGACCCGACTCCCCCGTTAGGGTCTGCACGCCCGACCCGACCCGACCCGCCCGTTAGGGCTCGCGCATGCTAACTCGATGATGCGTCATACCTTCATGTCCCGCCCGCTCGCCCCGCCCCGCCCGTCAGGGTCCGCCCGCCTCACCCCACCCGTTCGTTATAGGGTCCGCCCGCCTGCTCCTCCTCCTCCTCCTCCTCCTCCTCCTCCTCTGGATCCTCCACGTGCCTGGCGAAGCGAGCCCCGGCGAAGCAAGCCATGGCGAAATGAGCCCGGCGAACCGAGTCCCGGCGAAACGAGCCCCGGAGAACCGAGTCGGGCGAACCGATCCCCCGGCGAGGGTACCCCTCCCGGGTATGGTGCTCTGTACTCGAACCAGCTCGTGTGCTCTCGCTGGTCACTGTCGCCAGGGTCGCCTGAGTTAGAGCTGGGCGGCCCAGCGCTGAGAGTGCCCCTGACCCTGGAGGACGTCAAGGGGTGGGCGACCAGGCGGAAGAGCCCACGCGCTCTGGGAGAGCTCTGGGGTGCGCGCGTTCTTCGGCCGAGGGGGAGGTCGGAGGGCTCCTCCGCGCTTGGCTCGGGGGGGCCTCCTCTCTGCGCAGAGGGGCTCACTTAGCACCGGAGCTTCCGCTCCTGGACCACTGTAGCTGCACGTCTCCAGGGCTCAGGTCGGGGGCGTCCAAGAGGGGGTTCGCAAATCATGGCCCGAGGCACGTGCGCGGACAATGGGGATCGGGGGACGTGTTGAAAGGAAACGAAGGGCCATGAGCTCTGATATCATGGCACTGGCCATGATATCCCCCCCCTAGCCATCACCCCCCTCTTGGCCGCCCCCCGATCAGGAGCGAAGCTCCTCCTTGAGCGCACGGAAATCCTCTGCCTCACGGCTCGAGTGCACCCCCCAAAACTCAGCAATCCTCTTTGCCGGGCAGTCCGCTGCATCCGCCCCTTCCTTTTCACGTCACCCAGCCCAGGGGAGGAGCTATAGGGAGGAGGAGGAGGAGGAGGAGGAGGAGGAGGAGGAGGAGGAGGAGGAGGAGGAGGAGCGCAGCGTAGGAGAGAATCCATCCCAAACCTCTGAAATCTACTCGAAACCGCTTCCCTCATAGAGGGAGTGAAGAGAGGGCGAAGCCTCGCATATAGAGCGGCATACCTGGGAAGTCCCCGAGGCACGCGATGCAATAGAAGCCGCAGGACAGGAACCCGAAGTCGACAATGATATCGCCGATCTGAGATGCGCAACTGCTTGCCTAGCAACTTCATCCGTCAGGTCGGCCAGCGCTGTGCTGCAGCGCTGCAGTTGGAGGAGCTCTGCGCGTCGAAGAAAAGAAGCACCAGGAATCGCCCAGTCAGATGCGACATGTGCTGCAGGTGATTCCATACTGTCGGGAAGCATGTCGCACCTTATGAACAGTTCTCCAAGAGCGGATTCACCACGAGACTGCCGAAGAGCAGGAGGTGGAGCACCATGTCGCGGCTCAACAGGAGCTTCATGCAGTGCCACAGCAAGCTCTTGGTGACCAGCACTCTCGGGAGGCAGCGCAGCGCCACCGCGACACCCACCAGCATGCAGAGCCACCACACCCGAAGGAAGCGCAGCACGTACATGTAGAGCAGCGCCGCCATGGCCCAGGCAGGTCCAATCCATGTCGTACACGTCATCTATCTTCTCATATCCCGCGGGAAGCGTCACTGCCCCAGGAGGTCGCGCATCAGCATCACGTGCAATTCGAACGGCGTATGCAGGATCGTCGCACCAGCAGAACAGAACATCAGGAGGTAGTTCCTCAGGGGCGGGGTCGCCAACACACTCGCGTATACCAGCGTGGTGGAGTAGATGGTCGGCACATGCAGCAGGGGATAGCGCAGCACAGGCGGGATCGCCACCACATTCATCCAGAGCATCGCTGTCAATCTGGAAGTCGGCACGAACATCACCATAACTTTCATCAGAGTCGGGGCCGCCACCACGTTCATGTAGAGCAGCGCTGTCAAGCTGATGGGCGGCACCAGGAAGGAGTACATCAGTGACGGGATCACTCCCACCCTCATGCAGGTCAGCGCCTTCAGGAAGAAGGGCAGCACGGGCAGCAAGGGATATCTCATCAGTTGAAAGACTGTCACACTGTTCATGCATATCAGCGCTTCCAGGAAGAAGTTCAGCACGGGCATCAGGACGAGGCGCTGCACAGGCGGGAACGCCCACACCGTCATGCAGATCAGCGCCATCACGTTGAATGCCGTCGCAGTGGGGTTCAGCACCGACAAGCCGAAGGGCGCTAGAGGTAGAAGCAACCACGCCCTGAGACAATTGAGACATCAACAACGTGACTGTATCCAGCAGCGGAGCCGTAGTAGACCGAAGGGCCTCCGTCGTCGCAGTTCTGTGCATGCCCATGGCGTCCTCCACAAACTCTCGGACACTATCGAGAAGCCCTGCTTTGAGACACCTCATAGCGTCATCGCATTCGCGCCGAAGACGTTCCAGCCGAGCCTCCAGGGCGACAACTTGAGGGTCAGGGACACGCTCCACTGCTCCACGAGAATCGCGAAGGGGAGCAGCAGCCACACCAGGCAGCGGGAAACCGAAGTCGAGGTCGTGCGCGCCACGTTCCTCGAACCTCCGCAACTCGAATTCAAAATCGATGTCCCAGCCAAGGGATTCGCCACAAACCTCAGCAGCGTGCTCCGTAGAAGCCCACACTTCCGGCGACGAAGAAGAAGAAGTGCACACACCGGGAGGCGAACAGGACGAGAGTGAAGATGAATATTTAGCCTCCTGCAGCTCAGCGATAAACGACGCCACCTGCGTAATGTCAGAGTCGAAGCACGTAGCGATCGGGATGATCGGAAGTGTCCAGCACGGGGGAGAAGATCTCGGGATAAGCTCGTCGAGACAAAGCGCCTCGCGGGGAGGCGAAGGAACAGCACCACCAGCAAAAGGAGGAGCGTGACGTTGTGCGCTCAGCGGTATGCGGTGCTTCGCCTTGCCATAGCACGAATTCTCATGGATGTACTCCCTGAACTCCTTGTCTGTGAGCTGCTCCTTGGCGGCGAGGATGGCCATGCGCAGCGAGTGCGAACGACGGCCTGACAGTTGCTGCAGTTCATGATGAAGGCTGAGTCCACGAAGAACTCGGCGAGCATTCTGCGCCACATGCTGTGGAACAGCGACATGGCGAGTTCCAAGAGGAACGTGTTGAAGAAAACCACGCGCGAGAGCACGCTCACGACGGGCAGCGAGTTGCGCCACACTGCGACAATGCACCATCCAATTAGTCACACTCAGCCAGATGACCAGCGGCAGACATCGCAACCATAGAACATGCAGTGGGGAGGCGGCAGCGCGTGCGGGGCTGCGTCCTAGCATGCGGCTTGAGCCAAAATGGCTACGGAGGAGGAGGAGGAGGAGGAGGAGGAGGAGGAGGATGAGGAGGAGGTGAGGAAGGAGGAGGACGAGGAGGAGGAGGAGGACAACGACGAGGCTGAGCTGGCGGAGTGGCTAGGAGGAGGGGCTAGGAGCTAGGAGGATGAGGAAACGGGGAGGAGCTGGCAGAGAGGAGCTCGCTGCAGTCCTGGAAGCTGGCGATTGCCGACGGAGGCGGCGCACGCTGAAGCGGGAAGTGGTACACCTCCGGCGGAGGAGCCACCACGCTCCTCCTCCTCCTCCTCCTCCTCCTCCTCCTCCTCCTCCTCCTCCTCCTCCTCCTTCTCCTCCTCCTCCTTCCCCACCTCCTCCTCCTCCTGCTCCTCCTCCTCGCTTGCGACCCGAGGCTCTGTGCTTGAGGCAGCCCATCCCAAGGAAAAGAGAACGCGAGACAGAGCAATCGGGCCACCGATGCCTGGCCCAGATGGGGTTTCCCCGGGGCTCCGTAGACTCGACTTTTCGGAGCCGCTGGCCCCTGGAGCTCTCGACCCCCTTCCGCGGGACTGACTTCCCATCCCAAGTCGCTCTTTGACAGAATCGTCGGAGGTCAGGGTTCGCTGCTGCTGCTCCTCCGTCAGGGTCTGGCGATCCCGACCTCGGTCGCCCGGCAGGAGGCTGGGGACATCAGGACAGGTGGCTGCGGGCCGCAGCGCGAGCAGGAGATGAAATGCCTTCACTACCCCCGCCGAAAGGATAGGGGGCTGGGGCAATCGCCCGCATTGCGCTCAGTAGACAGTGTCCTACCACCGCGTTCTCCTTCACCTCATATTTCAGTTTGACTGCATGTAGGGATCATAGCCACCTCCACGACCAGGTGAGCGCATACTTTATGCTCTTGCGGGCCATTTATCTCTCCATCTGTCCGTTTGTCTTGTGTTGTCCAACTGCGCTCTCCTAAATGTTTTCTTGTCGGCCAAAGCGCCTCAGTCGGTACCTGTTTATTATGCACCCTTTTACCACCCAGGCGCTACGATCCCAATATGTAAATTTTTCGAACGTCCGAAGAAGGGGACTGGAGTCAACGCGCAGAGTAAGCATGAGTAACTTTCCCAAGGGTGCCCTTGCATCCTTGCCTCTTCGGCCCGCCTCCTGCCAGTTTCGTTGCCCGCGCGCTGGTAAAAATGCTTCAAACTTTGGCGTTTAAGCAGCTTGCATCCTTACCGCGAATCCGTACTTACGTCTGACTGTAGACCCGCCTCCACTCCTCCCTCCTCGCGGTCCCCTTCTACAAATTCCTCCTCGGCCAAAGAAGACGGCCGAAGGAGCGGGTGGGTGGGGAGGGGCGACGTACCTCCACAAGCTCTACATATGGAACTGAGAGCGCCCACTGCTACCATCCAGTGCTTTCCTCCTTGGAGGAAGAGGGAGTGAGAGAGACAGAGAGAGAGAGAGCGCGAGAAAAATATGGGAGAGGGAAAACCAAGTGGAGGGAGGAGGAAGATGCTGTCCCCACCCGGCTCGGTTTCCTTCTGTCTGCTCGGCCGGCGACGCCCGACTACCATTGCCACGGACCCCACGTCCGCCGACGAGCGGGACCCCGGGCCTCGTTCACCCCTGCGCGTGGGGCCCCCTGCGAAACAAAATGCAAAAGTCCCCTCTTCTCCCTTGCGCTTCTTCTCGCCGTCACTCCCCTCGCCCTCGACCGCCTCCGTCTCCTCCGCATTCGCATCGTGCCCGCGACGGCCCCCACCAGGCGCCACCACTTCTGTTTAGTTCCCAACCCTCCTTGGTTGGGTTTTCGTTTTGAATAGAGCGGTGCGGTCGCGTCCTTTTTCTCCTCCTCCCGCCTCCCGCCTCCTGCCTCCTCCTGCCATCTCTTCGCCGTCGCCAGGGGGCCGCGGTCAGCGAAACTGTCGCCACTTTCGAGGGCTGCTGGTGGGCCCACCAGAGTCAAGCACCGCGCAGACCTGAGCGAAACCTCGCCGTCCCTGGGGGGCTGCGATCAGCGAAACTGTCGCCACTTTCGAGGGCTGCTGGCGGGTCCAGCGGAGCGAAGCACCGCGCAGACCTGAGCGAGACCTCGCCGTCCGTGGGGGGCTGCGATCAGCGAAACTGTCGCCACTTTCGAGGGCTGCTGGCAGGTTCAGCGGAGCGAAGCACCGCGCAGACCTGAGCGAGACCTCGCCGTCCCTGGGGGGCTGCGATCAGCGAATCTATCGCCACTTTCGAGGGCTGCTGGTGGGTCCAACGGAGCGAGGCACCGCGCAGACCTGAGCGAGACCTACCTCGCCGTCCCTGGGGGGCTGCGATCAGCAAAACCGTCGCCACTTTCGAGGGCTGCTGGCGGGTCCAGCGGAGTGAGGCACCGCGCAGACCTGAGCGAAACCTCGCCGTCCATGGGGGGTTCCGATCTGCGAAATTGTCACCACTTTCGAGGGCTGCTCGTGGGTTCAGCGGAGTGAGGCACCGCGCAGACCTGAGCGAGACCTCGCCGTCCCTGGGGGGCCGCGATCAGCGAAACCGTCGCCACTTTCGAGGGCTGCTGGTGGGTCCAGCGGAGCGAAGCACCGCGCAGACACTGAGCGAGACCTCGCCGTCCCTGGGGGGGCTGCGATCACCGAAACTGTCGCACTTTCGAAGGCTGCTGGTGGGCCCAGCGGAATGAAGCACCGCGCAGACCTGAGCGAGACCTCGCCGTCCCTGGGCGGCTGCGATCAGCAAAACTGTCGCCACTTTCGAAGGCTGCTGGTGGGTCCGGCGGAGTAAAGCACCGCGCAGACCTGCGCGAAACCTCGCCGTCCCTGGGGGGCTGCGATCACCGAAACTGTCGCCACTTTCGAGGGCTGCTGGCGGGTCCAGCGGAGTGAGGCATCGCGCAGACCTGAGCGAGACCTCGCCGTCCATGGGGGGTTCCGATCTGCGAAACCGTCGCCACTTTCGACGGCTGCTGGTGGGCTCGGTGCTTTCCAAGGCTGCTGGTGTGTCCAGCGGAATGGGGCAGCACTACGCGGACCTGAGCGGGACCTCGCCGTCCCTGGGGGGCCATGCCATGTCGTTGTTGCCCCCGCCGACGTTTCAAGCCCCTTTCCCACAGTCTCCTTTTGGACCTTGCATTTTCTTTAGTGGCTCAGGGGTTCATCTAGTTACTCATAGTTTTTTTTTCGAATGCAACTACGACTACAACTACGGCTGCGAGCGACGACAACGACAACGACGCCGACGCCGCCGACGACGACGACGACGACGACGACGACTACTACTACTACTATTAACACGGACACAACAACACTTACTACTACTAGTACTAGTACTAGTACTACTACTACTACTACTACTACTACTACTACTACTACTACTACTACTACTACTACTACTACTACTACTACTACTACTACTACTACTACTACTACTACTACTACGACTACTACTACTACTACTACTACTACTACTACTGCTGCTACTACTACTACTACTACTACTACTACTACTACTACTACTACTACTACTACTACTACTACTACTACTACTACTACTACTACTACTACTACTACGACTACTACTACTACTACTACTACTACTACTACGGATACGAATGCGACTGCGAATGCGAGTATTACTGCTACTATTACTAAACATGTCTACGACTACAAAGCGGCCAACAACGACGACTACTACTGCACGGCGACGACGACGACGACTACTGCTACTACGACGGCTACGCTACTACTACTACTACTACTACTACTACTACTACTACTACTACTACTACTACTACTACTACTACTACTACTACTACTACTACTACTACTACTACTACTACTACTACTACTACTACTACTACTACTACTACTACTACTACTAC